AATATTCACCCTTGAATATCAAGTACACTGACAGGAAAAGAGATTATGCTGAAAAATATTTGATTGATTTGTTTTTTTACAGCTTATCAACCTTTTACAGGTTATTTAAAGTCAGAAAATATTTTCAGATTGTAAGAATTTTGTTGGAGATAAAATTTACTGATGCAAGTCCTACTAATTAATCCATAGCTTGTGGGAGAAGTAGATTTATACTACAGTTTTGAATTGAGAGTATTCCTTCGCCTAGACTGTTCGCCAACCAAGGCTATAGGACCCACTGTCTTACTATTTACCCATATCTGAGGGAGATAAGATGGATTCATACCTTTCACGTAAGTGAATATAATGAACTCAACTGGAATTAGACTTTTCGATCCCGCAATCCGAGCCGCAATCAATTGTGCCTCATTTAACCCATAGCTGGGGGGAATATTTATTTAATTCATACCATTCCCAATGGTATTTGTGCGAAAGTGTATATAACGAATCCGACTGAAACTCTGCCCCCACCCCAATGCCCAACTCCGAGTCGATATATCTATTACACCACCCGCACACCGGACCTTACATCACTTGGTATTCCCAACCGGTCACTAATCTAGGTACTGACCTGAGTCGACGTTGTCTAACTTCGATGATCGTACGAGAACCGAGTTTTCAATGTGGGAAAAAATTTGGTGGGAAACAAGTACTTTTTGTCACCTTTAGGCTCCATACTTATTGATTTACACAGATAGACTAAGGAATATATACACTCATACACGAGAATCTTGAAACATCCAGAATACCTTATGTATAATAATCGGCGAAAGAAAACAAATAAGCAGATACAAGGGAAGAAAATACAGTTAAAATGTAAACGAGGCATAATCACAAGACGGAAAATTCTATCCGGTCGAACTTGATACACGTGGGGTACTTAGTAGTAATAGCTCACGAGAGTAGAATAATTGCAGGGACACAAGAAAGAGGGAAGATAGATACCAGATGCTTAATTGGAATGTTGTTCAGAGAAATGTTCGCAAATTGGCGAATAATACCGACAAGATAAATCTTAACAGAGAAAGAGAGAAACAAAATAGATAAAAAAACGTTTTAGACCAAGTATTGCTACGATATAAATATGAATTCAAATCTATAGACAATGAACAACAAGCAAATCAATACCGATCGATAATGAAATAGGCGCACATCAACGAACGGTGCCATCGCTTTTATTTAGAAAAGGATTCACTTATTACAGGTTGAGAATCCTTTATTCGAAATTATTGGGACCGGAAATGCTTCGGTTTTCAGATTTTGAAATACAGGTTATTTAATTTGTATATAGCATCTATAAAATGGGGGCAGGTTGAGAATGGAACCCAAGCATAAACACGATATCCCTTTTTTACACAGCTTATACATATACCCTGAAGGTAGTTTTATACAACATACCTGAAAGTAGTTTTATATAAAATTTAATAAATTTTGTGTACATACAGATAATGACGCTAATCATGTAATGCTCACACGAATTTTTAAGAGGTAAAATTAAGATTTCACGTAAAAAAATTATGTTTTGTATTTTATGTACGTGTACAGATCTATTTACAAAAATATATGAATGTAGGTTTTTTTTGTTTTTTTTTAATATTTTTACTGAGCACGAAGCACCTGGTAAGTAATCCATAAACGAAGGTGTTATTTTGACGATCGTTAACAAAAAAGTGACACAAACGTAGGCTATGTAGCTGGGCTTTCTGAAATTTTCCATTTGTGGCATGTCATGTCAGTACCTGAAAAACTTTCAGATTTTAGACTCGAGGTTTTCGAATAAAGGATACTCAACCTGTATTCGCTTTTCAGTGCAATGGCAAAATGTAAAATGGGTTTTAAAATAATTTCATAAAATAACATTTAAGCATAAAAGTTACTGAAAGTAGAAATTTCCAAATACGGCCAGTACATTGTGAACTTTATCATTTTTGATGTTATTAAGGGTTAGGTTCTTGTTTTTCATAAAAAGGGCTTCCATCAATTAAATGCTTCTAGTAGTTCGAGAGTATGTATCTCTTTCGTGTTTTAAACGAGTATGTTGCATGTCAAGGCTGGTACATTCCTGTGTTAGTTTTGAGCTCTGATCGGAGAAATGCAGAGTCAGTCGTACATGCAGAGGGTTGCTCTGACAGTAATGTCTCCTATTATGTTGCTCGACAACATCAGGGGTGGTGATTGTTGGTATGATAGCAGAAGTTAACCCTTTCTACCAATAACCAATTTTTTTAACATGGTTACGAATAGCAGCTGAGTGGTAATCTAGTTAATTCATCAGGGCTGATGTAAGGGTTTCATGCCCTCATCCCAAATCTTACTATATCTCAAACTGTCAGAAGGTAGTATTCATATAAAATACAAGTTTAATTGTAGCCTAATTATATACAATAATGGATCATATGCAATATAGGTGAACAATTCAACTAGAAATATGGAAAATAAATACAAGGTTTCTAAATACAAATTAGAGACATGTCATAATACATCATTCCATCATAAATAAATCAATGTTTTGCGGCATTTTTAACTTGAGATTTTGTCAAAAAGTTGAATAATTTTAATACATTGTATTTTTTTTTTTAGCCATAGTATTCAGACTTAACACGAGTAAAACAAATTCACGGATTTGGAAGAAAGAAAGGCCCCAGAAAATGGGGTCAAAATCCACATTTTTCATCCTTTAAATAGCCAGTAACGTATATAAATGCAAGTAGAAATAAAGCAAATGTTAAGATAACGAAATTGACAAAGCTGCCAAGTTCTCCCATCTGCCTCTCCTCCTGGGCCCTGTATATTCATTTCATAGATCGAAATCTTGACTTAATTTTCGGGTATTTCTTCGTTACTAAATCTTTAAAAACGAGTCTTTAAGATCGGAAATAGCTTTTTTTCCAATTCATATTTCTTGTTTACATCCAAGAGAGGGCATGTCGGAATCCAATGTGCGTTAGCATCGTGCACATGTTTAGGGTATTTAAATTTTAAGTACAAAATTTTATGAACCTTTTTTTTTTTATTTGTTCGGTGTTATAGCGTTTATTCTTAATGAAAAAACGTAATAAACGCGAAGATGCTGAAAAGTTAAGTTTATATATATATATATATATATATATATATATATATATATAAACTAAAAAAAAACAAACAAACAAGTAGCCAGTTGATTTTGCCGATGACAAAACAGCAAAAACACACACACATTAACCGTACATTACTTGAGCTAATAATATCTATACGATTTAAATTAGAAATCGTATACTTGAACACTCACATACGCGTTACTTTCCTGCAGTGAAAGTGTTTCGTCTGATACTTTATTTGTGCAAAGTTAAATAATAATAAAATTAAAAAAAAACTGATGTGCTTCAGTCACTTTACATGTCACACGAAGCCAGAATGTGGTATCGAGTTCAAGGAAATACGTATTTATTGAACAAAATAAAAATCCAGTAAAATGTCCTGTTCGTAGACGTACACAACTGTCTAAGTAAAAAAATAAAAAATAAAAAAAATAAAAAAATTATAGAAAAATATTACTATATAAAATTATAGGAAATAAAAAAGTCATAAACTTTTAGGTCTGCTGTGTCTTAAGATAACTTTTAAACTGTATCTCTCATTTCAAAAGTATGCGGTTTCTAAACTCCATCCTAACTCAAACAGGAAGGAGGAGGAAAGAAGGGAACTGTATTTTGAGCGGAGATAACGTTAGGGGTCATATATATATATATATATATAAATATATATATATTTATATATATATATATATACATGTGTGTGTGTCCTCTGTGCGAACAACGTATACAATCATTTTTGAAAGTAAATCCATTAGTTTTAAACTAAAGCCAGGTAGTATAGACTTTGGTTTACTTTATTAGTTGAATAAGGAAGAAAAAACGTGAAGGAAATGTTATTATCCAATAACAAATCCAAAAACAGACAAAAAGAATTTAGGGACGAGGGCGCTTATTTCCTTAATCACTATTTGGCTACATTTTCTTTTATTAATTTTTAATGAAAATGTGTGCAGATCGTAATTTGCACAGAATAAATAAAAATCGATCATTTACAAAAAAAAAAAAAAAAAAAGAAAAAAATTTCCGGAGTGAAAAAAATGTTTTATTATTCTAGACTAGAAAAGAAAAAAAAAAATAAAGAAAATAATTTGATGTTTGCTTAGTTAAGTATTTATTTACGACTTGGAGTGATTTTTTTTTTTAAAAATGTTAAAAACAAAACAGTTTCAAAGACTAATGATTAATGTAATCTACGCTTAGTTTTAGTTTAAAATTTCGATTTTGTAATTTCAAGTTCAAATTTTTTGCCACTAACCTCCTTCACCCCAGGACAACAGAGACGTTGACCGGATGTGGTCATAGACTGTCACCTAGAAAATCTGTCAGAAATGGAAGCCCCTTGCTTTTTAATGGGAATTGGGATGCATTTAAAAGCGGATGAGGGACAATAGAGAGAGACAAAAGATGTGACAGCCGTGGTCGTAAGTGTTAACAAAAAATAAAAAACGTAAATAAGTCATTAAATTAATTTGACAAAATGAAGAGAAAATATGAACAAAAAAAAAAAAAATAATCAAGGAAAAGTTTTTATTTTCAAACAACGAATAAAATAAATCGATTAAAAAGATAAACTTAAATAAAGACAAAAATTATCTATAGTTTCAGCAGATTATGTGTAATTAAGATTTAGGACTCTTAGTTAAAATTATAACTTCAACTAACTAAATAAAATAATAGTTTTTTGGGTTTTTTTTTTTGTTTTTTTACCCCGACACTAATTCGTATATAGTGTTGTGTGTGTGTGGCATATTCAAATTAACCCCAAGCAGTATTATGTTGGTTGGTGCCTCGTAAATTAGTGATGTCCAGTAATGAGTCATGAACATGTACGGATTTTTCCTTTTTTTTTTTTTTCTTTCTTTGTAGACAAGAAAAAAGAAAACTTACCTTCCATATCCCAGGAGTGGAGTGGTTGATTTTGCTGAGTTGGTGTAGATGGCGTCGAGTTAGTGTTGGTGTTAGAGTTTGTCGTATAGTCCTCCCCAATGGATGGGTATCGAAGCAGGGCACCTGCGAGAGACGGCAAAAATACGTCAGTTCGGTAAGATACTCCGGCTCTTCGTCTTCAAATCAACTATAGCTCCTTCTTCGTCAAATACTACCACTACCCCTTTTTTAGGTATTACTACCACCACTACCATTGCTCGTGGTGGCGACAGTGGCTAGGGTGATGGCAAGAAGGCATTTTATCAGTAGCAGCCGAAGTAATGTAAACGCGACAAAATCTTTAGTGTGGGAAAAAATGGGCGGAGTCTAAACGTCGGATAAATTCGGTGGTTTCCGTGTCAGTGAACTGCGTGTGTTCGTGAGCATTTCTATCTGTCTCTGGATGTATTCAGGAGTCTTTGTATTTGTGTGTGAGTGAGTGTGTGTGTGTGTGTGGAAAAACTTTTTAAGCGTTTGAACGTGTTCTTAAAAAAAAGTTTGTATATATGCATGTATGTGTATATGACTTACGTACTGTATGTGTCAAAAAGAATCATCCGAGTCTTGTGATGTAAAACACAACCAAATATATGACAAAAATAGTAAAAACTTATGTTTAATTTCAGAAATTTACACGACTATTATATCTACTACTACTAGATGTAAACAAACAACGATAATAAGATGACAAGAAAAATAACAGTTAAAAAAAATGAAGCCACATTTAAATTATAACAATACATTCATTCGTGAAAATTTAAGGAGATGAACAAATACTGAAATATTAACAAAATCAACAGCATTTATATTTTTTTCTTTTTATGATTAAATTGTTTATTTACATAACGTTCTTTACTTTATAGATCTTAATTTTTAAAAAGTACAGCAGATTGGTGAATGCAAATTTATAGCTGTTAGTGTAATATTTATGATAAAAAAATATAGTTTATGCTAGCAGCTATAGGTTAAAAGTGCTCGGGGATAGAGTATACGTAAATTATAAATAAATTATAAAAGTGAACATTGATGTCAACTCCCAGTGAGACAGTCTGTTTCATGCTTAAACACATTCTTCAGACCAGTGTAGTATTTATAATTTCATTTTGTATTAACAAACTTGGAAAAGGCATGAATTAACTTCTCCCTGTGCTCTGTCGCATTACTAGATATTCAGACAAAAATAGTCTGTCACCGATGTTTGATGAGAGAATATGTAGGTGGGTAAGCACCTGAGCAAATCACTCTCCCATAACTCTCTTACTTAGCAAAGCAATAGCAGCAAAACTTTGCTAGAGTCCACATAACTCAATTAAAATGTGTGCATAAAAGGCTTATTATTGATATATCTTTCATTATAATGATCTTCCAAAGACACTCTTTGTCGTTTTTCTATCTTTTTTCTTCATTATTTCTTTTTCTATCTTTTTCATCTTCATATTTTTGCTTTCTTTCTGTTTTTTCATCTTCATATTTTTTCTTTCTTTTTCTATCTTTTTCATTTTCGTATTTTCTTTCTTTTTCTTTATCCTATCTTGTTCTATCCTTTTATTTTTCATCTTCATATCTTTCGGTTTTCTTCGCCCTATGTTTTTCTTCTTAACTTTTCGGGTTTTTTTCCTAGATAATTTAATTACGTGTGGTTCAAAGAGTCTTATTTTTATGGGATTTCCCTAGTTATTCGTAACCACGGATCAGTAATAACTAATAATGCATCTAGTTCCAAGAGATCCGTGTTCCACATTGTACCTCCCCTTACCTGTAAAAAAAGTAGGGTTAGTGAACACACCCTGATATCTGTGGAAAACGCTAGTAAAACTGAACAATTTTTGCCACCATACTCACGGATGTAAGAAGTCACACTATAAACCCCGACCCTGGATCACATTTGACTTCACATGTAAAGAAATACTTCAAATTTACAATAAATACGTGTGTTTTTTTTTGTTTTTTTTTTTTTTTGTTTTTTTTTTTTTTTTTTTGTAACATGAACGTTTTACAATATTTGTTTATATGGGTTTGTAGATGCTTTTCTGTATGTGTATATATGCGTTTTTGTCTGTGTACCGGCATTTTCGTGTGTGTGTTTAGGTTGTTTTGTTTTTTTTAAGATTTTGAGTGATTTTTGTTTTTTTTGTTTTTTTTTGTTATCGCCTTACAAAATTTTTCTTTTTACTCGAGAGAAAAAAAAGATTATATAATAAAAAAAATGAAAGATATTACTTTATGGAAACGTATAACATTAAAATGCTTGTAAAATCGTTGATTTTCCAAGCGTAGCTTAGATGTGGCACAAGGCCGGAAGTATGGGGCACCCATTGAGGATCGAACTCACAACTCATTCGTAATTGTTCTAGCGAGACAAGCTTGCTTAGCCATTACACCACCTCGAGGTTCCCAAGGGATTTTCCAAATCGTGACACAAGGCTGAAAGCATGGGCACCCTGTGAGGATTGAACTCACTTGTAATGGTTCTAACGAGACATCCTTGCTAACCATTACACCGCCTCGAGGTGCCCTTGTAAAATCATTAATATGCACGTGAGCTTTGAGCAACTTTTAGGCTGACAAGAGAGAGAGAGAGAGAGAGAGAAAAGATAGAAAAAGAAAAAGAATAGTCTATTGGCCAATAATTATAAACTAGATAATTAATTTTATATATTATGTCAGATTTTTTATTATGCAATTTTACTCACAATAAAATTTGGTATCAACCAACCAATGTTGGGAAAAGTTTCAAGCTGTTAAATATTAAAATAACTTTATAGGGACTTAAAGTGGGAGATCGGTTTTCTTTAGTTATTATGCAATAAATTGATCCCTCTTAGAATTAATATACCATATAAGATTTTATTATGCAAGCCAATGTTTTCGTAATAAAATTGGAATCAACCAACAAATGTTGGGAAAAGTTTCAAGATGTACTTATGTTAAATATTAATCTAATTTTCTAATTTACATACGCACACATATCTATCTCTCTATCTCTCTCTCTCTCTCTCTATCTCTCTATATATATATATATATATATATATATAACGCATGACAGACAAGGAAATTCGATCCCCCCCCCCACCAACATTCTTACATTTTTTTTTTTTTTTTGAGGAGCCGAGTTCGAATTCCAGTCGAATCCATTAAATTCACTTACACGCTAATATCCTTGGTTTGAATCCTCTTCTTCTTTCCCCAGCTATGGGTACATAGTTCTATAATTGGATGGCAACTGGTCTACCGCAGAAAGAAATGGAAAAAATCTGCCTCGTCAGTCATGTATCGAAAGATGCATGATCCCCTAAGCGTGTATCACGCGTGGCACATAACTGGCACTGACTGAAGAGAGAGCAAAAATTGTTCGGATTGCCCCAATTTCAGCCACTTCTTTAGTCATTTTCAAATGGCTTTCTTTTCAGGTATTAATAATTTCTTTTCGTTTTGACTGTTTGAGATGTAGTATTTGTACTATTTGAATAGTAGCAACGTTTATTCCGAGTTTCATGAGTTGAGCGTGGCCTGAATACGCACAATTTTTGCCTTCACATACACCCACGAAACGCAAATGTTGGAAAAAACTAATTAAAAAAAAATCAGCAAATTTGCCTGTCATATTCAACGAAACGTTTAAAAGTAGAGTTGCTTCCCAAATATACATTATATATATGTTGCGGGTCTGTTCTCTATTGTTATTAAGTAATAAAGTGATCCCTTTTAAAATTACTATACTATATATGTAAGTGAATAAAAGTTGGTAACATTTTCGGGATCTATTTCAGTTTATAATATCTGTGTTTTGTTTGTTTTGTTTTTTTAAACAAATATTTACATACTCTTTGGTGGTGTGAAATGTTATGATGTTCCAGAAATAAAACATGGGTCGTAAGAAAGATATAATTTTTTACGGCTTATCAACTCTTTATGGGTTATTTAAAGCCGAAACATATTTTGGATTGCAAGAATAATTCTTTTTTAGAATTCTTCTTGGAATAACAATTATTTTTCCAGATACACGTCCTGCTATTTAACCCATAGCTGTGGGGAGGAAAGATGGATTCATACCATTCCCAAGGGTATTTGTGCGTAAGTGAATGTAACGAACCAGACTCAAAAATAAAAAATATATATATATATATATATAACATCAAAAGCGAAACAAGGTATTGTACAATTATTGAGAGATAAAAACAACTACAACGTTGGAAATTACAAAAAGTTAACCAGAGATCACAGAAAGAAAAAAATGAAAACATTATCACGAAAACTGCAAGGAAGTCAGCTTTTCTTAACACTGTGACAAAAAGAAATCTGAGAAAAAATTAAGAAGGGTAATAAATAATAGAATGTTGGATAAAGGCAACAGTTATGTGCCAGGCGTGATACACAGATTTTTTTTTCCCGCAGACGATTGCCATTTCAGTCTGCGGTAGTCCAGTTGCCACCCAAGATTATAGAATTCCGTCTGTCCTGCTATTTACCCATAGCTGGAGGTAGAAGAAGAGGATTCATACTTTTCCCAAGTGTATTAGCACATAAGTGAATGTAATAGATTCGACTGGAATTCGAACTCGGCTCTCCGATTCCTCAATCCGAGCCGCTATCCGTTACTCCACCGTAGCATCACAAAGAGAAATATGTAAGTTGAAATGAGAAGTACATGATTTCTCAACAGTAATTTATAGTGATGACTGTAGAGCTACATTAGACGAAGCCGATGGTTGGACTTCATACACACGATTTGGTGGGTGGGAATGGAGTAATGTTTTTGAGTAGTATCGGAGATAGTAAACTTATAGGTCGCTTCAGAGTTGATGCTGGTGCCAAGATAAATACAGAAAATTATTGTACATTCTTGGACAAGATATTTTCGAGTGATAATGGTCAAATGAAAGAAGCTTTAAGTTAAAGTGTATCTTCCTGCAAGACAATGTTCCATTGCATTCTGAAGAACTGACAATTGCCCACCTTGTCAAAAACTGACTATTGCCTACTTTGTCAAAAACTGTTTCAAAAGATGAATGGAATGGCCTCTAGGCTCTCCAGATAATAATCCAATGGATAACTTATAGTTCATCAAATAAAAGAGATGGACATGAGAATGTACAAACTATATTTAACCGAGATCAATGTCTGAGAAGTCGAAACAGTAAAAAAATAAAATAAAATCAGTATTTAAAAAACTGATGAAGGTGATAGAATGTCAACAGCCTATATTCCTTTTTGTGTGTGTTATGTCTCTTCACAGCGAGAGCTATCATGGCTCTCCACAACTTCCTGTCTTTTGTAGCTCTGAGTAAGGTTTATCTTTTTGTTATCTCTCCTAAATCTTGTTCTGCCAACCATTTACACAAGTTCATTAAGTAGATTATTCTCTGTTTATCCTTTGTTCTTCTTGCCTTCAATATGTGCCGGGAGTGTTAAGTTCTCCAAGCCTTCTTTCCTCATTATAGGCACTAGAAATTTCGGTGAATTTGCAGTTTAAGCCCCGGAAACCTGTTGTAATGAAAATGTCCATTCTGGTGTAAATTTGCATGCTTATTTCGAAAATAACAATAAAAGTTTGCAGAAGAAAACTGTTTAAAAGTTACCGACAATATAATTTCGACCTCTTTCGCGTCGCGGCAACACAACGGCCGACATTACTAGCTTTGTTTACATACGTTTGCCTCGAATAGTAATGCGCGGAAGCCTCACTTGTCTTGATTACTGCGCTGTACGCGAAATTTAATTTAAATTTCGCGCTTAGCGCAGTAATCAAGACGAGTAAGAAGATAAGATCAGTAAAAAAAAACGTTAACTAAGCAAGCTTCCGCGACTTACTACTCGAAGCAAAAGTATGTAAATAACGCCAGTAATGGTAGCCGGGCTAGATGCGAATAAGGCCGAACTTATAATGTCGATCACTCCTAAACGATTTTCTTCCGTAAACTTTTACTGTTATTTTGGAATTAATCAGGGAATTTCACAGCAGAATGGAAATTTTAATTACAGTTACTTTATGCGGTTCTGCAAATTTACCGAAATTTCAACTGTCTTTCTAATTCTAAAAAGTGTCCATTTTCATTCCGTTTTTCTCATACTCTCAAAACCCTTCTGCAGAAACACATTTTGTCTCAAGTCTCTTCTTCATTTCTGAGCAGATTGTCCAGCATTCACTGCCATACAGGAGGACCGATATTGCATAATAGTTCAGGACTCTTTATGTAAAATAATAAAATGATTATTTATTCAGATATATGGGAACTTGTATTAAGTATACGTTTATATGGCTTATATATTACGGATTTATTTATAAGTAAAATAGATTATATTTAATAATTTCACCCCAAGATGCACGGGGTTACTCAGTGTTCGAGAATATGTGAAAAATATACTATTAAGGAGAGAGGACACTAAAAGAACAAGAATTATAAGATAGAAGATAACGATTGACATTGCATTTGAATCTTTGAAGATCAAAGTTGACTGGGAAGCAAGAAGCCGGAAGAGAGTACAACAAGCAAAAAGTGCGATGGAAGAAACTGTTAGCATAGAACTTACGGTTATGTCTAACCAATTCAACTGTAAATTGATGTGACCTTGTCGCCAATCTGGTTCAGCGCTTGAATTCATAAAGTCTAGGTTCCATAGAGGAATAATATTTATATTGAAAATACAAAAATGTGGCTCAAAGCCAAATGTGGGATTGAGAGCATGCTGGTCTGCAATATATCTTATTTTAAACTTAGCTAGCCACAATTACTGGCCCAAACAAATCCACTGTATTCTTTACACCAAAACAACACATTCTTACAATTCTTACTACAGCCACCATAATACCTCAAAGTCCCCATGAAGCCATATCTAGTTCCCATATGCACAAGTTGTCTGTGAGGGGTTGGAGAATAAAAATTAACAATATAGAGGAAAGTTCAGAACGCATAAAAGTATTTATAGAAAAGGCAAAGGAAAGCTACGATACGGCGGTGGGAAAATGACTGAAGCCGAGATGTTAAGCCAGGGCCAATAACATTGCAGATACTCTGAATTGTATCAAGAATCTCCACTTTGCAGTAAACCTGAAGCCTCCAATTATTATCATTAGTGTTAATTAGGACAGGTATTATAAGATGAGACGCACGCGATATATTTCTCATATAAATGTGAATATATTCTAAAACTTTTAATGTCGGAATGCTGTGCTACCCTTGAGGATCCAGATGGATGGAACAAGGGTAGAATCGGTCCTCAGTTGCTTTTAAATATTTAACGATGCGATAGGGGAATTTCTACGGATATTTTATTGTTGTAGAACTCGCCATGAGCGTACTCACTCACTTGACTTAAGAATTAAGATTCATCAGACTATTAAAATAGGAAAACCGTGAAATTTTAAAAGGGAAAATGAAAACCCGCTAGTCGCAGTATATTTATATAAAACCAATGTACAATACATAGAATGCACTTTACACATCATTTTATATTATTCTTTTACTTAGAAAAATAGTAAATGCTATAAATGTCGTATCAGGCCTTCTCTATGGCAGTGAATTCTGAACAATCTTCACAGATGAAGAAGAGACTTGAAACAAAAGAAATGTAGTTCTACAGAAGGTTGCTGAGAATACCATGGGCAGTGGCGATTCTGCGAGGGGGGGGGCAGAAGGGGCCAGTGACCGCCCCCCTTGAATTTTGGCTGGCTCCTCCCCCCCACTTTTCTAAGTTTTGTAGAGGAAAATTCAGAGCAGAAAAATTTCACTGTTCTGCTAGTATTGACGTTAGTATTAACCCTTTGATTTTGTTTTGAAGTAAACCTCTCTTGCGGCCCAACAGCTTGAGAGTAGAAAAGATGGCAAGAATAGATTAGAACTCCACTACTATGAATGAAAAGTTATTACGTTTAATTTAGTGAAGTAACATACTTATACTAAAACTCATTCCTAAGTTGTGTATACCATAGTGGTGTAGCATGAAAATAAAGACGATGCTTGAATTTGCCTCCTACTCCTCCACAGAAAAATTTCGGCCCCCAAGTGCCCCCCCCCCACACACACCCACTTTCAGAGTTCCAGAATCGCCACTGACCATGGACTAAACAAGTGAGCAACAACGACGTTCTAGAGACAACAGCAACAAAAAGGACAGTTAACATCAAGAAGAAACAGTTGAAAATTCTGGGTATCATAATGAGGAAAGAGGGTTTGGAAAGTGTGAAACTCACAGGACATATTGAAGTCAAGAGAGACAGCGGAAAGCAACGCACAGTCTACTTGGTTAACTTGAGCGAATGGATGGCGGAGCAGGGTTTGGAAGAAATAGCAAAAAGACTAAATTTATTAAGAGCTTCAAAGGACAGGAAATTGTGGAGGACCGTGATCGTCAACGTCGTGAAGGGACACAGTACATAGAAGAAGAGCTTTTGTTAACAGGAATTGCATAGAAATCCCACAAATCGTGTGTGTGTGTGTGGAGACTATACGGCTTTCTTTGGCATAGTCGTATTCTATGTGACAGAACGTATGTTTTATGGCCACAAAAAAACAGTTTATTTTTTGCATCTTTCTAAATATTTTTATTATCGTATTTGTTGTGTCTACATTGATTTCAATACTTGGATGTTAATTTTTGTTATGTTTTTCTTTTCTATGCATCTGAACCCTAAAATGGGGTCTCGCTTACTGGTGAAACCTATTTTTATGATTACAATGTGTGAACTATATTATTTATTTCAGTATTATTAGTATATACTTATATATAGCCCAAGGAGAGCCCATAGCGCGAGTATGTCTTGTATACCTCGAAGCTTTCGTACGTGTGTTCTAAATGTGTGCGCATAATAGCCAGACATGTGTGTCTGTGTGAGTGAGAGAGAGAGAGCAAAAAAGAAGAGGGAGTAAGGAGGTAAGGAAATCTGGCTAACCATTGGCTGAACTCCTTAACACATCACAGTGACGTCACAATGATCACGGTCACCTCTGCTGAGAACGCGCGACACCTCCTTCTATTCCCAATACGCATTCTCGTCTCGCGTTTACAATTCCGCCACCATTTCTTTTTTCTTCTTTTTCAATTTTCCTTTATTTGCCCCCTTTTTTTTTTATATTTTACTTATTTACTGTTCTTAATTTCTTTTTTGTTTAGAGTTTCAACTCTTTCTCAACCGTGTACAAGACACATATATCCACAGTCCCCAGCTATATAACTATGTAGGTTGTGTAGTAGAAAAAAAGTTGGCTTTATTTTCTCTGTTATTGCTATATATAGCAGTGTGTACCTATTTCCAAACCAGTCTTTTCTTTCTTTCTTTTTCCACCGTCATACGCTCTACGACTCTCTTACCGTCTGTCTCTCTTATTGTTTATCTTCCCTCTCCTTCATTTCCCTTGTACAGCTTTTACTTTTTATAAACTTTCTCGTACACTTCGTTGTTATTCCAGATCAGCGTTCCCAATAATAACTAGTAGTACGAGATATTAAAACGTTGAGATGCATTTACGCGCTTGTCTTCTTACCGCTATAAGACACACACTTCCGAAACTAGACAAATGGAGCAGCGGATTAGATTTGTAAATCGATCACGTTAATCAAATCCGGACAGAGACAGACAGACAGACACACACACGCACAGACACACATTCTTACATTTATATATTGGGCGCCGGCTGTAGAGCAATAGTCCCATACAGTACACCATTCTCTGGGGAATTCACTCATTACTACTCACTCAGTCTTTCTTTACATTGTACCAAACCTATTTCTTTTCATATCTATGCTATCTATCTTATGTTCATATCTCTATATGTTCATATCTATCTATATGTCCCTATCTATCTATCTATCTATCTATGTTCATATCTGTTTATCTATCTATGTTCATATCTACCCTTCTTCATATCTATGTCTATGTTCATATCTATCTGCCTATGTTCATATCTATCTATCTCTTTTCATATCTATCTATCTCCCTATCTTTATCTATCTTTCATATCTATCTACATATCTATCTTCATATATGTCTATAAGTAAAGTAAAAATGCCTTAAAACTTCGGCATCTGCTAATGCACTCCATTGCACTATACGGACAGTTTTATATCAACATGATTATAGGAAAATCCACGAGAAACAACAATTGAAAATGCTTTTTGTTCCTTTTACGGGTTTCGATTTTTAAATATTCTTCTTTTTGTGGTTGTCATGGACCTCGGGACATGCAATTTGCATTTGATTCCATAACTGCGGCTTGTCAACGATTTGTTTGTTCGAATGCTCATTGTTCAACGTTGCATAAAAACCAAACACAAAAGAAAAATATTTTATTCGCCCAATAAAGTTTTCTTATTTTTGAAGATTTTACAAGAAATATTTCCACTAATTCTGATAACAGTGTATTAATTTAACATTTGTTTTTTTAAGAGGCAAGACAAAGTTTGATTAGAAGTCAAAGAGACTTCGAGTAACATAGGAATAGGATTGTTACCACCGGTTGTTCGTAAACAGATGTTATAAATTTTTAAAATGTTTCTTTTTATATTTATTTGAAGATAAAATTACATACATAATTTATACATTCATTTGGATATTCTTATAAGCACAAATAATGTTAATTTAACAAATAGAAATTTATATTATAATATTAAATATATCGTTCTCCATACAGAAAAAAAATATTTGTTCTCTTTTTTCAAGATTTAATACATTTTTAGTAATGCCCAGGTCTCAGTTTTGCCGGATTAATAAAAAAAAAATTACATATGTACAAAGATAACACTGATAGAAAGATGTACAAAGATAAAACTGAACCATTACTTTTATAATATTGTCGAATTATCCATTCTGCCAGATCAGCAGAAGCCATGAAATAGCAATTGAATAATACGCTTTTGATCCCCTAACCATGTATATGTCATTTTAAAATCATTAGGGCTACTACGAGAAACTTTAATTAACAAAATATTTCTCATATTAAATACTTTCATGTTTCAGTGCTCCGATGTCAGTCAATTATGTGCCATGCGTGATGCACGCTTAGGCGATCATAAATCGAAAGATACATGATTGACGAGACAGTAGGTTGCCATTTCTTTCTGGGGGGTGAGAAGAAGAGGATCCCAAGGGTAATTAACACGTAAGTGAATGTAATGGATTTGACTGGAATTCGAACTCTGCTCTCCGATTCCTCAATCCGTGTCTCCGTGCTTTATGTAAAATGAACAAGAGTTTGTCTTCATAGAGCTCAGCTCGTTTGAAAATGTCTAAGCTATTACCTATATGCAAACGTTTTAGCAGCAACAAAAATGGGTAACGCATGAAGCCAGAAGAGATTTAGTTTGGTTTACGGTATATCAACCTCGATGGGTTATTTAATGCCGACAATATTTTTATTGCTTATAATATTTTCTTTTTTTTTCCAAACCATGTATTGCTAGCAATAATTTTTTTCCTTCAAATATGTATTGCTGGCATTTTTTCCCCAAAATGTATTACTGGTATTAAAAACTATGTTTACACTTTCAAAGTGTTTTGACCCCAGTTTGGGGGTTAACTATTTGCCCATAGCTGGGACCCTAACAGGTGCTACCACCCCGGGTCAGTGTGAACCTGGGAACATCAAAATTAAGAGGTGGTTTTACGATCTTCAAAACCTCCTAATCCGATGCCTTGTTGTCGTATGTACTTTACCGTCTTACCCAGGACGCGGATGTAGTTTATCGTCTTACCCGGGACGCGGATGTAGTTTATCGTCTTACCCGGGACGCGGATGTAGTTTATCGTCTTACCCAAGACGCGGATGTAGTTTATCGTCTTACTCAGGACGCCTCATCTGGGTGGGTTGGGGTCTTACCCTTCTACAGATGTGCAGTCGAGGTATTCTGAAACCCCCAACCGACAGGGCTAACCAGGAGAAAAAATAATAATATAATTAAGATGTTAATTTTCCACAATACCTTAAACAAAAGGCTTGGAAGGAAACTTCCATCATTACTAGAAAGCGCGATAAGAAGTGTAATTTCTTTAAAAACTGATTTAAGAAATAGAATTTTTAAATTTCAACCGATAACTGATTTAAGAAATAGAATTTTTAAATTTCAACCGTTAATGAATGTTTCAAAGAATGGTAAACGGCTAATCTCACCATTCTTTGGTTTGGTTCGTTTTTTTATGTTTTATCAACCAAAGAAAGTCAGAAAATATTTTTAGATTGTGAGATTGGTTTTATAGATAATAATAGTTTAGTGATACAAGTCCTACAAATTACTCTTTCCCAAGATTTGCGGGTAAGTGGATATAACGAACCCAACAGGAATTGGAACTCTGCTCTCCGATTAACAATTGATAGTTCCCTCTACGCAAGACGCCAGTAGTCCTCTGGTGGCAGCCACCCGCAGGCCATCGGCGGGCCAACGATGGACCACTAGCGGTTCGCAAGGGGTAACAGTGCCGAGACAAACACGCCAGCAGTCCGACAGCGAACCGCCAGCTGTAAACGCTAGTGGCATGCAGCCCAGTGGCAGATTTTTAATTGTAAAATTTAATTTTAAAAAATATTATCAGTCTAAAACTTAGTTTGAGGAAACAAAAAAAAAAAAAAATGCGCGAATGCTTCTCTAATCACTACAATCTTAACCTGTTCAAGTCTAGAGCTAGCCTTTCTTCCACCCCTCCATATCCCCATGAACTGTGCCTCTTACTCTGTAACCCTCTACCTCGAGTGGCTCTTGGGCCTTGAATATCATTGTAAAAAGTGAAAGCGAACTTTATGCAGGAGAGACTGGGTTCTATAGCCTTGGGTGGCAACCGGGAAGGAAACATCTGAATTCGACAGCCTTGAAAGGGTTGGGCTCCGTTAAGCTATCTAGCCCAAGGCACGTCACTTCTACTGCGGTTGCATTACACGTGGTACTCCTACGACCCTGATAAGTTACGGGACTCATGGTTATGATATAAAAAAAAAAATCCGTATTCATTGCCATAATTTTTTTTTCATCGATTCATTGATTTGTTTTATACGGCTTATCAGCTCTTTGCAGGTTATTTAAAGCCAGAATATGTTTTTAGATTGTAAAAATCTTTTTATAGATAATAATAGTTTAGTGATACAAGTCTTACTAATTACTCTTTCCCAAGGTTATTTGCGCGTAAATGAATATAACGAAGCCAACAGGAATTGAAACTAGGCTCTGCGATTAATAATTTCGAACCATTATCCATTAGACCACCCGCACATCCAAGCTTACAGTACCAGGTATTTCCAAGCGGTCACCCATCTAAATATTGACCAGGCTCGATGTTGCGTAACTTCGTTGCTCGTACAAGAACAGGTGTTTCAATATGATGTGGCCGTATGCCCATCTTTCTTGAGGCTTTTGGTTGGCTAAGCAATGGCGATAATGACGCAATATTTTTATACAATAGTTCACTCTAGGATGCCCTCCAGAATCAGAACTTGCTATTTCCGGTTGGCCTACGCATGTGTAGTGTGTTCGTAAATTTGTCCACATTAAAACCTGTGTTCTGTCTAAAAGTAGAAAAAATGCATAATGAAGAATTGATATATATATATATATATATATATATATATATATATATATATATATATATAAACCTTAATTTTATTAAGGTTTATAATAATTTATAATTTTATTTATTTATTAAGGTTTATAATAATTTTATTAAGGTTTATTAATAATTTAACCTTATTGTTGTCGACAACAACAATTCACCTGCAAGATCTAAATTACAGAGAACCAATATTATGTATTAATGTACATATCCCTTCAGGAACTGCTTTCATCAATAATTATATTGTACTATAACGCCTATCAAGAAGACACACATTACACCTCTCTGACCATAGCTCAATTAGGACCCATTTAAACACACACTGAAACATATCAAACCCTATCCGCAACAAAGTTGTAGAAAATACAAGTATAATAGCCTAATCCACACGTATAAAAAAGTAAAAATAATGGAAGCATTATTTATAAATAAAAAGAAAAGACCAACATTCAATAAACACAAACTATGAACAAGGCTACAATGTGCTGACCGTGTTTGAAAAATTAAAAAATCATTCCGATCACATATATAACAATCTACACATTCAGTTAAAAACAAAAATACAAATCACCTTTGATAATATCTAATAGAATAGCCGAAAGTGCTCAGATATATAGAACACTTAGACACTTTTTACACTCATGTCCACGACAGAAATATGAACACAAGAAAAAGTTAAATAAAAATTTTAATCGCAGTACCTTGTCAGTCGTCTTTAATGAAACTTGCATTAAAGAGGGATTGCTGCCTAAATACACAATTCTTTAACTCCCTCTCTCTCAATATATATATTATTAACATGAGGGCACCTCGAGGTGGTGTAATGGTTAGCAAGCTTGTCTCACTAGAACAATTACCCCATACTTTCGGCCTTGTGCCACATCTAAGCTATGCTTGGAAAATCACTATATATTATTAACATTATTTTTAGTGGATTTTTTTTATTTTATGAAAACAATAACAACCAGTCTAAAATGAGAAAAGCTACTAAAATTTGTTCCACCGACAGGAATCGAGCCTGTTTCCCTTTTTGTTTTTCTACCATTTCAGCCAGGGAGCCAGTCTGATTGGGCAGGGCTTCAATTACCGTATTTGTCGGTCTACTGAACGCGGATTTTTAAAAAAATGCACAAAAAATTACCCTGCATCCAATACAGCAGAGTCATATATGAAAAGGACATGAAGACAAGGAAAAAAGTGGTGTTTATTAGAAATCGGTTCCTAGTTTCAGAGTTTAACACTGAAACTAGGAATCCTGGAAGTGAACAAACAGGGCATCAATAAAAATTCATCCAGTAAAATGAAATTAAGAGATTTATGGAACTGCACAATATTTTTCTTCTTGTTTTGTAGAAATACCAGACTTTATAGAAATATTTGCTTTGATGGTATATTGCTGCTTGCTTTGTGTGCGTTTTTGTTGATATACAGGTATTGGAATTTGCTTTTCTGCATCTATAGTATGGGACTTTATTTAACAATAGGTACCAAGTTTCTGTTTGTTTGTTTTTTTTTTTTTTGTTTTGCCTATTACCATATGTACCAGTGTTTCGTGATACCAGTAGATTTCTTTGTAGCTATTATGAATTTACTGTATGTGCAGATGTTGCTCCCTGAAAAACAACGGAAACAATTTTACATAAATCAATGATGAAATGTACTAAAATTCTTCATTTCCAAAAAATGTGGTAAGTAAACCTTACCTCACCTTTTAATAGAATTTTTTTTAAAGAAGTACCAACGACGTTGTTTTTTTTTCCAACTGAATACTTAAAATGAAAAAAAAAAAACAATCCTAAAAATAATTTTAAAATATTTTCTTATTTATTAATAACACAACGCCTGTGGATGTGTACAAAAATATGATTTACGTTTATAACCTTTTGATTCAATTAGACAAACCTGATAGAAAAAAAAAAGAACGAGACTGTAAGCAAATTTGCGTCACGTAATCAAATCCAATTCCCGATAAGAACGGTGCTTATCATAACGTTTCGGCCGTTCTGCCCTCTGGTCTTCGTCAGGTGTCTGGAACCTTTAAGGAATTTCGAACTGAGCCGTTCATTTAATTTACAGGTAGGCTGTTCTCGTTCTGCTATCTATGTCTGGGAATATCTCATCTTATTTAAGGTTGCTCGGTTATTGTAACACGGCAACAAAGTTGGTTCGTGAATTCTGGTGATATAGTAATTCAGAGTTCAATCCTTGGGCCGAATAGTACAGACTTAGACTCAATGGAAACAAGGCAAACAATAAGTAGTGGATTCAGTTTGAAATTCCATGAAGAAAGGTTACCCCGATCGACAGGCAGCTGAAGAAAACTGGATAGCATGACAGTCGAAACGTTGTAATAGCAACAACAAAGGTAGGGACATCAGTCCGAATATAAATAATGTAAATAATGACAACTCTTTATTCCAGAAATTCAGAGCTTTTTTCTCTTTTTTTTTTTAAACTAAAGTTCACCTAATACAAGGCCCAAAAGCCACTCAAGGTAGAAGGTTACCATGTTGAGTTATATTAGCGTAGGAAAGGACAAGCGTTAGGAGTATAGAAATGAAGTAGACTTTAGAAGGAACCAGAAACCCAGGAAACAAGATATAAACCTCCAACGGCGAAGTAATGGGTAGCGGCTCGGATTGAGGAATCGGAGAGCCGAGTTCGAATGCCAGTCAAATCCATTACATTCACTTATGTGCTAATACCCTTAGGAAAGGCATGAATCCTCTTCTCTCCCAGCTTTGGGTAAATAGCAGGACAGACCGGGTTCTATAGTCTTAGATGGCAACTGGTCTACCGCAGAAAGAAATGGCAACCTACTGCGGGAGACAAGGTATTGTAACTATTTCTCTCGGTGGATAAAAGCGTTGGTTGAAGTAATCCAAAAATTGACTTGACTCAGAGTTGTGAGTTCAATACCTGGCCACTGCAGAAGGGACAAAAACTTGGAAAGTTGAATTACTAAAGGGAATTAACTGAAACAGATACGCAAAAAGGTATATGGAATTTGAACAATATTCACTTGTGAACTAAAAGTATTCGGTTCGAAATTCCAACGTACATCACCTGAGGAAGACCGGGGCGTACAGCGACCGAAACGTCGTGAATATGGCAATAAAGATGAGAACAGCAGTCTGAATTATGTAAATAAATGCTTTCTCATTTTCTTATCAAACTGCTAGCCGAAAGTTGTCAACTATAAGACGATTTCATATCCAGAATGCCCCAGCTCTAAGATAAAAAGGTGCTTCTTCGTTACCCTGACTATTCTTTTACGAGGATTGCTGAAAAGTTATTCGCCCAAACAAGAATCTTTTCCACAAAAAAAAAAAAAATGTGATGTTTGATCAATATGTCATATTTTGAAAATGCATCATCTTGTAAGCCTCGGAAATACTTCAGACGAGTCCAGGCTGAATTTTGAGATAGGTTTTATGGTCAGAATGTTAAACCCATCTCGCCTACAAATAGCCTAAGTTCGAATCTCACCATAGACGATTTTACTAGGAGGTAACTTCTTGATAATATCAGCCTGGGAAGGCGATACCAGTGTCTGGTGGCGTTGAGAAGTGACTAAAAACAATACCACGGGTTGACCTAAGCAGTGAGAGTGAAATTTGGTAGGTAAAATTATCCCGAAGCCGTCGGTGGTTGTGATAGCACAAAGGCACAGGTCATCGTGATCGAGGGTTTGAGCGTACTAACATTGTTTAACTACTGATCACGCCGAATTATGTGCTTTCTCCCAGAAAATTTAACTAAACTCCGGTCAGCATAGATGCAGTATAAGCCACAAGTTAGCTCTGTGGTTATTAAAGTAACACAAATATGACTGAGCATGTGCCTACAACAGGGATTAGCTGGCCACCCACGCTGACGGGCATGCTCGGAAACAAGCAACCAAAAATTTATGCCTGCATATGTCTTTACCTGTCTTAGTGACCTTGGGAAGTACTTTCCGAGAGAGGGGACCCCCTCCCCTTATTACGCCTGATTTAACTATTAGTTTATTTGCCACCGAATATATTTTGTATATATCAATGCTTTTTCACGTGTCTGTTCGAAGAAAATTTAATATTCCGAACCAAACACGACTAAATTAAACATAAGTGTGTGAAGGTCGACGTACGTAAATAAATTTAGATAAATAAACAAGATGGACTTTAAAAGATACTATCCGATGGTTAGGGTGCTAAAATAAGTCGACTGAGATGACAAGTAATTTTCAATTCTCGCATAGAAGCTCGATTGACCGGATTGTGTTCAGAAATGTGTTGACTGTCGGCTGTCCCAAACAAAAGACGCTATGCCACACAGGATCAAGCTTATATAAGCATCTTAAACCAAGAGATGTGATTGGTTGTAGATTAGTGACGTCAATTTTGGTTTTCCGGTGTCTGCCACGCTCATACAGACAAAATCAGATACAGACCTTGTTGCGCGCATATAGACACATACATACATCACGTTAGGTACTAATGCTACAATCATAATTAATTATATATTGCTTTATTTTAAAATATTATAAACGAGATTTGCTACAGCAATGACTACACTTATTACTACAACTTTTATTAATAGTAATTATTACATCATCGAGATTGTTACACGTTATATGATGATATTATTTTAATATGGAGAATAAAGATTATACTTTGCCGTTTTGAGTATTATCAGCTTTTGGTATGTTCATTCATCTATACTTCAGTTTTCCCATAAAATGCTCGTAAATTTAAGCTGGTTTTCATCTTATGAAGTTACAAAGTAACCAACTGATTTTTGTA